TCTTTCTCTCTTTCTCTCTTTCTCTCTTTCTCTCCATCTCTCCCTCCCTTTCTATTTCCCTCTTCGTTATCCTCCTCCCCTTTCTTTTTCAACGCTCCCCTCTTCCCAATTCTTTCACTTCTCCCATCCCCTGTCATTATTCCTTTTTTTAATATTCTTCAATTCCCATTAAATCTGCACCCCCCCCCCCTCTCCCCTCCCACCACCACGACCTCAGCCCCAAACACCATCTTTCTATTTGCCTTCCACGCCTTTCTCCTCTTCTTTTCCCTTCTTTCTTCGTTCGAGAGACAGGAGAGAGGCCAGAGAGAGAGGTGAGAGAGAGAGAGAGAGAGAGGGGGGAGAGAGAGAGAGAAGAGAGAGAGAGAGGAAGGCCCGTCGGTTTATTTTAGGAGTAGGTAGGAGACAGTTTAGGAGTAGGGGAGACAGTCCAAGACACATAAACAAAAAAAATAAATAAAAAAAGAAAAAGAAATGCGAATATATGTTGTCTGTGTATACGTATACACACCACCACACACACACACACACACACACACACACAACACACACACACCACACACACACACACAAACCCACACACACACACACACACACACACAAAGCAGTCGCAGGAAATCAAAGGCGGTCCTGCGCGTCGCCCCGAACCCCCACCCCCCTCGTCCTCCATAACAAAACCTCGGGTGTCCCTTGGGGTTATTTTCACGTGGACGTAGGATGATGTACGTGGGGTGTGACGCTTGTGACGTACCTGTGGACGTGCTGTGATTTAGACTGATTTTGTGGGGGGAGAGGGGGCTGTCATTTTTACGTTTTTTTTTTTTTGCGTTGTGTGTGTTTTCTCACTCTCTTCTCTCTCCTCTCTTCTCTCGCTCTCTCTTCTCTCCTCTCTCTCTCTTCTCTCTTTCTCTCCATCTCTCCTCCCGTTCTATTTCCCTCTTCGTTATCCTCCTCCCCTTTCTTTTTCAACGCTCCCCTCTTCCCAATTCTTTCACTTCTCCCATCCCCTGTCCATTCCTTTTTTTAATATTCTTCAAATTCCCATTAAATCTGCACCCCCCCCGCCCATCTCCACTCCCACCCACCAGACCTCAGCCCCAACACCATCTTTCTATTTGCCTTCCACGCCTGTTATCCTCTTCTTTTCCCTTCTTTCTTCGTTCGAGAGACAGAGAGAGAGAGAGAGAGAGAGAGAGAGAGAGAGAGAGAGAGAGAGAGAGAGAGAGAGAAGGACGTCGGTAGGAGACAGACCAAGACACATAAACAAAAATATAAATAAAAAAGTAAAAGAAAGAATGAAAATATATGATTGTCTGTGTATACGTATACACACACACACACACACACACACACACACACACACACACACACACACACACACACACACACACACACACACACACACACACACACACACAAAGCATTCGCAGGAAATCAAAGGCGGTCCTGCGCGTCCGCTCGAGACCCCCCCCCCCCCTCGTTCTCATAAACAAACTCGGTGTCCCTTTGGGGTTATTTCACCCGTGACGTAGGATGATGTACGTGGGGTGTGACGCTTGTGACGTACATGTGACGTGCTGTGATTTAGACGTGATTTGTAGGGGGGAGGGGCTGTCATTTTTACGTTTTTTTTTGCGTGTGTGTGTTTTCTCACTCTCTCTCTCTCTCTCTCTCTCTCTCTCTCTCTCTCTCTCTCTCTCTCTCTCTCTCTCTCTCTCTCTCTCTCTCTCTCTCTCTCTCTGTCTCTGTCTCTCTCTCTCTCTCTCTCTCTCTCTTTCTCTCTGTCTCTCTCTCTCTCTCTCTCTCTCTCTCTCTCTCTCTCTCTCTCTCTCTCTCTCTCTCTCTCTCTCTCTCTCTCAATCTCTGTCTCTTTCCCTCTCTCACTCTCTCCCTCTATCTATCTAACAATCTTATCTCTCTCTCTCTCTTTCTCTCTTTATTTTTTTTTATTTTTTTTTTCTTCAGTTCCCCCTACGTCCTCTCGCCGGAGTAATATCACATGGATTGTTTTCTGTGAAGGGGAAGTGGATGACTATGTTTTCCGTATTTTCTATTTGTTTATTTATTATATATATATTTTGTTTTTACCTTTTCGTGTTTTTTCGGTTCTTTTCTTTATCTTTATTCCATCGTCGTGTTGTGAGTCTTTGACTTCATTTCTGTTTTGATATTCATCTTTTTATATTCATCGGCATCATCATCATCAATTATTCTGTTTACATAAAAATCATCACCCTTTTCTCCTCTCCCATTCCTTACCTTTATCCTTCTCCTCCTTTATCCCCTGTTACCTTTGTGACCTTTTTTACCTCTGACCTCTGTGACTTCTGTGACCTTGTAACTCTCCACTTCCCAGCCCAAGACACTGTTTAACCCTCCCTGTCCCCACTTATCCCCTCCCACTCACTCCCCCCCCTCCCCCATCCTCATCCACCCCTCTCTCCCTCTCACCTCACCCCCCCCCTCCCACCCATACCACCTATCCCCCACTCCCCCTCCC